GTCCAACAGTGGACTACTAAAGGCTGTTGATGATGATGATGATGATGATGATAGTGCCTGGCTGTATGTACACATAAAAATCTGTACATTTTGTAAATTGAATCAGGAATGCCTTAGGCACACATTACATTTTACCGCATGAAAGGTACGAGAGAGATGTGTATGTCCTTATCTATACCTATAACAACGTCACAGTTTAGTAGTTAACAAACAAAGAAAATTACAGTAACATTTATGATTTAACTTTCAATTCTAATGCAGCCTGTCTCTTTTTACTTAGGCCGTGTATTTCTTGAGGCAACGTGTTTATCAATGTCGCCGTATCATCGTGTCATGATTTGAACCATCTTCAAATAGTGACTTATCTTAGATCTCTTGTGCAGAACATCGTTTGTTTGGATCATGTTTAGAATACAGAACGAAAAGGAGGTTAAGTTATTTTTGTGTGGGTGGTTGCCGTTAAAACGATGTAAAGAGCCAATTCGCCTGTTTTTAACTGCTTACCTAGTACCACTATTTATATTAGAACACTCGCTATTGTATTTATTAATTAGTAAATTATAAGCATAAAAAAATCGAAGTTCGACTACTTACTTGGGTAATTTAATGTTTATACAATATAAACAAACTAATGAAAACATTACTCATGTGCATTAAAGTGCAGTAGAAGTTCATACATGAATCACTTCAATTTTATGAATCCAGAAAAACCACGTTCAAAAACATAGTTTAGCGTGTAATTTAACTATGAGCGAATTTGCCTCGCCATTATGATACGAGTAAATGAACGATAAATCTTACGGTTTGCACATTTTACGATAAATTCTGAATCGTTTGTTTGTTGAAATCGCTCGGAAAATCTATCGGGTGATAAAACTGAGTGCGGTCGATGTCACTACTATTGGTCAGAACTCGAAGGAAATGTGAGTGTCTCTTGAGGGAACAATTTATACGTTTTACCTTTTTACGAAGCCACGCATAAATTTCTTATGGATGTACTTGTCAAAAAATATATGACTAGTGCAACATTCGAAAGGGACCGGGTAGAAACGACTGTTAATTCTGAAATTAGATATGTTTTAACACTAGCTCTACCAAGCCATGCTTCGTTGTGGCTCATTATAGTTGAAGAAAAGAAAAAAAACATATTTGAAGAGTTTTGTATATCGGGTCAAATTTTGGGCTCAATTGCAAAACTTTTTGAATTTTTGAAGCGTACACAAACTCACTTAAAATTTTCAACAACATCATGTAGATTACCGAATTACCCCTTAATACATACTATTTACAGTGGTGAGAGTGATTTCATTTCATTTTATTCTTTATTGTACACACTGAACACATATATGATTCGTAATTCTTTTTTTTATAAATTACGATAGTGTTTAACTATTATTTTATGCCTAAAACATAAATGAATTAATCCATTTCGTGATTTAATTAGAGGTAAAGTTAGGTTCTAAGGAGAGGTCCAGTAGTGGACTACTAAAGGCTATTGATGTGATGTGAATGAAAGTTAATTGAAATATTGTGGCAAAGTTAATGTTAATTAAATTTTACGTTCACGTTTTGAGAAAATTTACGAAACTTATATCAAAAGTATAGTAAAATTTTGTTAGCATATTTTAAATAGTTATAACTTTGATACCTAACTCGATAAGTAAGGAAAAATAAAGTTTAAAAGTGAAATTGTAAATTGCCTACTAAACTCGAAAATCCGAGAATTATAAGTAGGGCCCACTTCATAAGATGCTATATTGGTTACTGGAGTCTTATGCTATTAAGAGAGAGTTACCTCGCAAGTATTGCATTCTTCTTATATTAGGAAACCAAAATTGATGGCCTATTGTAATATGATCTTACCACAGATTTATTAAAATTATATGATAGAAAAAAGAGGTTAATATGAACATTCTCCCAATTTTGTTTTATGGTATAAGTGGGCAAATGAGCAGACGAGTCACCTGATGGTAAGCAACTAGAGCCGCCCATGGACACCTGAAACTCAAAAGTCACAACACACTTGGAGTTCCTCCCCCTCGAGTCAGCGGGAGGGGGGATTTGGGCTCCGGTAACCTTACTTACTCAGTGAAAGGCAACGAAAGAGTTGCTTAATTTTTGATTAATTTCTAATTTGTGTTCTCTTTCTTCTATGGACAATTTTGTTAATCTATTCATGGATTAGAGATTGCAAGACGAGATTTCATTGCTTGCACTGAGTGAGTGAGGTTACCAGGAGTCCAACCCCTAACTCTAGGGGAGGTGGGGTTAACTAAGAGGGCGGTAACGTACCGCCGTCTCTTGAGTTACGTATGTCTATAGACATCGGTAGTCACTTACCATTAGATCAACTACCTGCTCCTTTGTATCACATACTATAAAAATAGATCACCATCTAAATTTTTTTAATTTCCACCATTTTAGGTGGAAATTAAAATGTTGGAAATTCCGTCTAACTGTTTTGCTGAAATCTAAACGTGTAGATTGAAGGTTTTTCCTAAAAATCTACTATCTGACATCCCTTAAAGAGGCATCAAAATAATTTGCACTTCTCCAAATATCATTAAACAAATATTTCTTGGTAAGAAATTCGCTCGCTTCCATTAAACTACACATTTTATAATCAATTCAATTTTAACTCGAATTCCGCAAACCTTATACAGAAATGAAACATTGTTTTTATCGGAACATTTATTGGTCCTTCTTTATAGTAATTGGTTTTATTCCGGAGTGTTCCCTTATTTATGTTTATTGAAGTAACCTGCATACCACATACTGAAGTGTATTTCTAAAACTTTACAATTAAATTGTATTTTAGTTTTCCCTACGTATGAATTCTTTAAAATATTGTAAATATGTTACTTGATGTTTTCTATCCTGATTTTTGATATGATTTGTTATCTTTAAATATACATATATTTTTGGCCTTTAAATTATATCTGCAAATGAAATAGAATAAACACGCCATAATAATGAGGAAGATAGAGTGACACGTTTTGTAGGACGAATTGGGACAAGTTGCAGTGAACTAGACTGAATAATGAGAAACATACTCAACTACACCGAATAAAAGAACAATAGAAAAAAGTTTTTAAATAGAAAAAAATATTACATATCACGTCAAATGCAACAGTCGAATAAAATATCTACTCGTATCTCTGAACTATAAAACTTTATGCTACTTATCGGGTACAAATAAAATTGAGGAATTTGCAAGAAAGAAGTACAAACTGGTACCAGTCTGACTTCCAACAAACTGTTAACTACTTGAAAAATGAAAAGTTTGAGACACTTATTTTCATTTTGATAGTAGCGTGTAGCCTCCATAAAATACCTAGGTGTAACAATAGATGATCAACTGAAATGGAACCTCCACCTCATGTCAACAACTTCGAGGGTTAGACGACTTATACATATATTTAAGAGCCTGCGCGTAATAGCTGACGTCCCGCTTCTCATACAATCTTATAGAGCGCTATGCGAATGCCTTATAAGGTACTGCATATGCGCCTGGGGTGGTGCCGCTAAAACCTTCATGATTAATGTAGAACGCGCACAGCGCGCTGTTTTAAAAGTCCTTTTATACCTACCATATAGATATCCCACGACTGCACTTTATGAATATACAGAGGTATTATCTGTAAGGAAGTTATATATTTATGAAACACTACGGAGATATCATAGGAAAACAGTCCCTAACTTACCTGCACAAAATAAAAGAGTAGAACGGTTTCCAGTCCCTCGTACTAAAACTAGTTTTGCACAAAAACAATACAAATTCTTAGCTCCACATATATATAACAAATATAACAAAATCGGTAAAATTAGTAAACTAAATAACCATGCAGTAAAAAAGGCCATCCTTACGTGGTTAAATTCATTAAATTATGACAGCACTGAAGACATAGTCACGAATAAATATACGTAACAAGCAAGGCATTCACATACACACAAAAATTCAAATGCACGCACATACACACATGCACGCTCACACACGCACCCGCTCGCACACACGCACCCCCAGACACACGCACACACACACAAACACAGACACACGCACACATACACACACAAACTCAGACACACATACATACACACACAAACTGGGTAATTAAAGTTAATATGATGATTTTTATGTTTAAGTTTTTATTTTTTTTGAGTTTCTTTTTGTTTTGTTAGTCTTTTTTTTTATTTTATTGTATTGCTTATTTAACTATGACATAGAGTTCTTTATATTACGTGCGGAAAACACTGTCTCCTGCAACACAGTTTAAACTAGCGCAGGAGCCAGGGGATTCTCAATCATATGTGTACCAACTTAAATGTCAATAAATTATTATTATTATTATTATTATTTTGTTACAAAAATTTATTTATGTAAAATATTTGTAATGTCACTATGTGAAATTGTATTAGTGTATCAGTTTGTTTCTTGATTAATTTGCTTGCAGTGTTCATGACTGACATAAAAATCGTAACGTAATTTTATGTATTCTATGCTACTTTAAATCTATAAATACTTAACCTAATAAAAAAGTTTTTTTTATAATCCGACTAGTAGTTTGCAATCAAGCAATCTTACAAAACAATTTTATTCATTATATTACTATTGATTAATAAAATTAATGTAGTTTAGATTAGCTGCCATGTTTAAATAACTCATTTCCAATTTAAATATTTATTTTATTTTATATTTATATTTTAATACAAAACTTTAGTCGATCAAAAATCAACTTTGGCAATAAAGATTTAGATTTAAATTGCTAAACATATACGAGTACATACCTCAAGACTATAAATCCTTGTTTAAAGTTGAATTCTCGTTGTCATGTCAATTAACTTAGCTGAATTATTTTCATGTTTCTTTAATGATAAATAACCATTAATACACCTTGAAATTGTTACACACCTGCCATAATAAGTGAATTATTGATTTTAAATTTTTATTCAAGCATATTGGTTTTCCTTAATACGTTACTAATTAGTTTAACACAGTTAAGATGATACTCGTTTTTGTTGTTATATTTGCTTTGATCGTAAGTCTTTTTTCTCTTCCTACGAGCCTTTTTTTTCCAAACTAGATTGGGGTTGGCTTTAAGTCTACTATTCTGAATTTTAATATTTCCCGCGGAGCGACTGCCCTCAGTCCACCACAACCCAAGTACTAGGCGATATTGAAATTCTGCAGAAAGACTGTCGGACTATTTTTTTAGAGCTCCTACTATCTGTAAGGATTCGTATGGCAATTGAGACGGACGACTTAAGGTGCTCTCTTAGGCACGGACTGGTCTCCATATGTCAAGGAATGGTCACCTATCCATAGATTGACCTAGCTATGATTGCTTAACTTTGGAATGTGTTAACCTACTCAGTTACAACTTAGTATCGAGCCTCTCAATCGTAAGTGTACACATCAAAATATTAATTCTAGGAAGAAAAATACGTCGATTCGCGTTTTGATTTGGTTGGAGATTCATGCCGCGGACCAAATGGGCTAGCTCGACCGGAGTGATGCTCTCAGACAACCAGTACTAAGCAATTACTTATTTGCTTTTTACCGATTGAGAGAGGTTATCGATGCCCAAAGTTCTCTTTTTCACCCTGGGAGAGCGGAAGGCTTCAATGCGTGGCAAGGCACTTGTGATTTTTCAGTTACAGGTGTTCATAACCACTTACCATTAGGTGACCCGTCTGCTCGTAGACTTGTCTTTCCTCGTGCAGCTCAACCTTAAGCCTACTTTTTCCTAGGTCAGTTGGTTTGTGTGGAGTAAGTGCTGTAGATTCTCTACTAAGACAGGTCACTAGGCTTACACAAACGAGACGTTTGGGGTCTGAGATGATCTACCTATATAAAATACTGCCACGTTATTGGAGGTGTAAGATGTTATTTCTTATTTATCTCTTAAGCCTTAACTTTTTTTTTATCAATTTAAAGGTCAACATTGAAACAGATAAAAATTTGAATGAAGATTACATCGATAACGGCGGCGAAGTGATTTCTTCTGAAAATATTAATTTTAAAGTAAGAACATTATTCGTTATAAGATATTAATTTTCTGGTGTTAGTGTTGTTTTCCCTAAGTTTTTGTTTTACAATTTTTGATAATTAAGCAAATAATATGTTAAATACGCAGACGTTTATTAGTTATGAATTACTACTAATGGTTTTGTGACATATCTTTTGGTGGAATTTGGTTATTAATGAATCATTAATGATAATACAAACATGTACATAATAATACACAAACTAATGATATTTTTCGTCTGTGTAGAAATTTCCTTTGGACTTTGCATACTTCAGTATATTCGTTTAGTAAGATCCAACCTTTAATATAAGTCCGCCGGTTTCTGCTACATCTAACTTGTCTTGAAAATCTCTTGAATTTCCAGCTCCTAGGGGACGCTAGAGCCAGGGGTATGTGGTGTTTCCACTAAAAAGCAAAACACCGATGGCCTGCCTCAGGCTACTCTGGGACTAAGATCCACGTAATTTCAAGTTCCCCCGAATCTTACTAGGCCCTTTCAGAGGCCCACCGCCTATCACTAAATCTAGTCCGATCGCAGTTGGGTGAAATCTGCGCCCCCATGTCGCTTACCGCAGTAATCAATCTGCTACCAGAGGTCCCCAATCTCTGACAGCCTACAACCCCGTCGACAGCTGATATCGCTACCGACGTCCGCTACGCTCGAGTCCGGCCGTCTACCGATACCGTTCAGCGGTCTCTTGCTGGAGAATAACAGGCTCACAGAAAGAGACCACTACACCCCAGCCCTCCTCACCAATGCCACTCAGCAATAATTGCTGGCGGGGACAGGTCTCGTCCGATTTGGTGGATCAAGACCTCGCGTTCAGATGCCCACGCGGGTGGCAGTCCTCCAACGTGTGTTGGGCAGAGTCCCAGTCAGCTAATCAGTACTGGCATTTTGAAGTCTCCTTGCGTCCAATCTGATTCAGGTACTCACCGACCATACCCTCCTACCTACTCAAGCTTCGAGGTTATGCAGAACAGCACTGACATGCTGGCCCCATGCATATCGCTTAATTTCATTCTATAAACTTGTTTTGTAATTTATTGTTCCTACGTGAAAATCAACATCACCATCTTCTTTCTACTCTTTTCCAAATTTATTTGCGGTCGGTGCAGTGAGTTCTTCATTAAGTCCTTGATTTCATTGCGAAATGGTATTAAATATAAAAAATATGTTGTATCAGTGTGGAGGAACAGGTGTCATATCCCTCCAACACAAAGGGAGGATCCTCCGACCAGGCGAGGTGATCATGCCTGGTGAGCCGCGGCTTAACGGTTGATGTTGGGAAGTTGTATATACTCGTATGCTAATCGGCGACGGAATTCTTCATATTACAGGATTAGGCGATACAGGATTAGCAATTCTCATTTAGTAGTTACTCCGTAGTTCGGTGTGTCTTCGTTAGATGGCACTGTATTATGTTTCTGTTTTTTTGTATGTGGGAGTAGCCACAATCAGTAAAAAAAGATACACGACACGACGTTAAAACTATACGTATCGTTATCTTAATACACCACTTCATCGTTAGCAGTAATGTTTTGCTCTTTTTGTATAAAACCCAATAGTCTACCTAATTTGTATTTCTGATCTATTTTATTTTTGCAGATGACTAAAAGTGGTACTAATACCATCAGTGACAGTAGAAGTTCATCTGCCTCTACTATGAGCAACAGCTTCTTCGACGACAGCAGTAGCTCTTGTGACGACAGTGACTGTAGCAGCTATTCTGATTAACGATTTATAGATGACAAAACTCTTATTCTATGTTTAATTTTGATGCCAAAAAGGGTGCCAAATTCCAAACCAGACCAGACCTCATACCTACAACCTACCTACCTTTTTACTTCCTTGAGCCCTTACAGTGTATGTTTGCGTAGTGGTATCTCGGAATCGAAGCGACTGAAACCACATAATATGCCACTCCGCGCATGAGCTAGGAGGGATCCGGGAACAGCTTATATTAAGACATTCAGACTCTTCCCACCGGGCGCGAGCACCACCTTCGGGTGCATTGTCTATTTATGCGATGTCTGCCACGCCGCCTCAGTCGACAAGGTTCGGTAACCGCGTATGACTCTCAGTCAAGTCAAGGCGGCTCATGTCAGAGCCGCCATTTACCAGACAATGCCAGTGTAAGCCGTCTTGTCGGGACTCTGGTTCGATCGAAATTGTGCAACAGTCGTCCAAGAGCAGAAGCAACATCGACCAGTTTTGGAGCAAGCCATCGAGTCTTCGTCGAAAGCTACCCCCTCTGGACTGCATTTAGTGTAGAACGACTCGAATCGGTGATTGATAGGATTTTTATAGGCATAGGGTGCAAACGAGGAGACGTGTCACCTGATGGTTAGTGACTACCGCCGCTCATTTACACCTGAGTCACAAGTGCGTTGATGGCCTTCGAGTTCTCTGGCGTTGCGTGCAGATGTATGTCTCTATTCCTTGTATTATGAGAGTTTGGAAACTGCTTTGAGAAATTGCTTATATCTATTAAATCGGCATGATCATATTTTCATCGAAGACTAAAGAGTTAACAAATAAGTTAGCCATGTATGCTTCAGTATGACACTGTCGTTTTTTAGATATGGAAAAAAAATGTTGTCCTGAAAATCCTGATCAGGACACTGACAAATTTATTAAATTATTGTATTTTGATTGGTAATTGATACATAATGTGATATAATGTACATAATGTAACAGAATCTTTAAAACACGTGTTTTTTTTTTAATAATAAAAAAAGTGTTAAAAGGCAGGGCTTACGTAAATAACTAATATATTGTATAAACTAATTCTCGCTCGGCATGATGACCTCGTCTCGTCGGAAGATTCTCCCTTTGTATTGAAAAGACAAGACATCCATTTCTCCATACGCGTACCGAAGAAAAAACCTTCCTTGACAGATTATCCTTCACTATCTAGTGAGGCAGGTTTTATTAAAATAATAAACTATTATTTAAGTTTTTATTTGATACTAGTTGTACCCGCAGCTCCGCCCGCGTTTTTTTTTCGATTATGTTACTCGTTGATAATGAGCTTTCCGTGGGTAAAAGATTTTTTAAATCGGTTGAGTGATTTAAACGTAACAAATAAACAAACTCACTTTCATATTTATTATATAATTAAAAAATATAATATTTTTATAATATAAAAGTATGGATGTACAAAGGCAAAAAGAAATCTTCTATTTGACTATACTGACGATGTAATCGATACATATTGAAACCATTAAATAAAAAGAAGAAGAAGTTGTCAAAACAGGACGTCAAAAAAAATGTAACATGTACAAGTGCAAGCAAACAATACAGAATAAAATAACTCATTAAAAAATAAATCACAATGCTTTTATATCAAAATCAATTTACAAATTTTGCAATAACTTATTAATAAAACCTCTATGAATAAAACAAAATAATAATCCAAATCATATTTATGTAGGTCAGATTGTAAATCTGGTAACCCTCATTCCGGTTTTCCAAGATGGGAACGGCGTACAGTAAGGATGATAAAAGAAGGATAGATGAAGCAACAAGCAACTCCAGGTATATAAAACATATTCTCCGAATCAAACTATATTAATTAGCGAATAGAAATAATATTTTTGTACTCATACTCTATTCGGCCTAAAGCTTATTGCTGTGATTTTTATTTCAGTTTATCTAATTTACGATACGTGATAACAGAAAAACCAAAATGGAAAGTTTTCAAAAAGAAAGAGTGAGTTAATGTTTATAGATTTTATACAGTAATCTAGGAGGTAGAATTTAAAACCAAAGTCTTACACCTCTTTAAATAATATCGTTACATAAAAATCTTAACAAATTATGATAATCATAGCTAGACACGTATTCTGCCGCTATTCGAGCTTAAGTGTTTAAAAGAAACAAACTGGTAATGTATGTCCCAATAGTCCTAAACTCTTTTACAATCCCTACCACAGTATCCTTAAAGTATTTTCATTACTTATTTGCCATTCGTTTCACCGATACTTAAATTTGGCAAGTGGAAATTGTATCACTATACACAGTTGCATTCTGGTAACATTTATCGCACAACAACTGCCGATTTTACGGTTATTTTTTATTACAAGTTACTATTCGAAATTTGCAATTAAATGTGGCTACTATAAGACTACAAAATCATATGTACATTTTCAATCATGGAATAATTTAGAACAACTTTTTCAGCAACTCTCTTTTAGCAGGTATTTTATAAAAACATTCATTTTTACATCAATTTCACAAAATAATATAGCGTTATAGTAGAATTCTACCAGCTTATTAAAAGGACGCTGTAAAAAAATAACTTTTAATTTATTTACTGATACAATAATATAATTTTTAGATGTATTATAGCTAAAAAAAATAAGTAATTGTCTACTTTGTTTATTTTATTTATGTGTTGCAGAATCGTTCCTTTGCCTAAAGGTGTTTGCAAAGGTGGATGTCCATGCGGTAACGACGGTCCCTGTAAACAGAAAGTTACACCTAACGGTGTCACCATACATTATCCACAGCCAAAGTGAGATATTTTGCAACCCTTTAATTTATACTTTTCTAGTTAACTCCTTAATTTTGTGATAAATTTTGAGGCTGGCAATTATACACCAGCTTCCCGTAGTGGTTGAACAAGTACGTATAAATGTAATAATTGCTATTGTGAAAAAAAATGTGCAAGATGATTTTTGCACTTCACCTTTTGTCTATTTCTTACAAATTATATCACGTCAACAGCCTTTAACAGTCCACTGCTGGACATAAGCTTCTCGTTAGAAAGTAGGTTTTGGCCTACTATACCACGCTGTCCAGGCGGGTTGGTATAGGATTTGTGTCAAGTTTGCCTTCTATCTGCAGTGCTGTTGTTCTGCGTAGTTTTTTCCCTTAGTCGGCTCTTACGACACCCACGGGATGAATAGGGGTAGTGACACTCTGTATTCTTAATCCGTCACCACAAATTATATACTCGTATGTAATCAGGACTAGAAGCCCGTCTTTTGTCTATATAACCTAATTTTATAGGCATTGTGCTACTAGTAGTTAATTTCCTTTCAGGAAGAAAAAATATATCCTTAGACAAAAACGCACAGTGACCAAAACTACCAAAAGTTATTTAAATACGTAAGTACCTATTTATATATTATAGAATTTTAGACAACGGGTAATTTTAAAAACGGTTATTTTCTATTCAAAAAGATGCCACGTAAAAATACCGTCGATGAATTTAACATTGCCACACATGAATTTCAAATTGCCGGATGTGAAGCTTAAAATGCCTGAAATCAAACTCAACATGACAAATATGAACCTCAGCATGCCTAGTCTAAAAAAAATTAGTATGAGCGGAAAAATATCTGACCTAGGTGAAAAAATGACAGATTTAGGAGAAAAATTTTCTGATCTTGGTCAAAAGATACCTAATATAAGGCATACGTTACGCAAAGTAAACTTTAAAAGGAAGAAAATGCCAAGAAGTCTAAGTGCAGAATTTATGTTCATGCCGTTTATGTTAAATATGGGCAACAGTAACAAAAAGTTTGGCAGTGGTCAACAATCAAACCCATTTAAGTCATTCAGACCCTGACTTACATTCCTAAAAGTAAAAAATGTCAAGACGACCAATGGGAACTTTGTATACAGCAATGCCATGGTATTTATTTTTGAATGAGGTAAGCAGTACTTTTTAAGTGCTTTGTACCAATCAAATAATCGAAAATTAAATATGTAAAATTTATTATAAGACAATAAAATTAAACTGTTAAACATTATTGAACAATCCTCAAAGTGACTAGTTATTTACGATATTATCTGATCATCCTTTTCAAGTTAATTGCTAATCTGAATTAGCTTGCTATTCCTTGAATAAGATAAAACAAATTTGTTGTAGGAGTAATTTCCACTTTAATATAATACGTGGAAATCACTCAAATTCACATATTTACCTTAACATTTGAGAAAGTTGTAATAATTTATTTGGTTAATAAATTGCTATTTGTCATCTTACCTATTTTAAGTCCGAATATGATTAATTGAGAGAATCATCATCAACAGCCTTTAATAGTCCACTGTTGGACATAGGCCTCTCCTTAGAAAGGAGGTTTTGGCATACTATAAAACGCTGGCTAGACGGGTAATTAATTGGTACTAATTGAGAGAATACCTACATGAAATATTATAATATCATGAACTTATTTTATGATAATACATTTTTAATCATATCAATCCTCTAAACATACAGCCCCTTACTGCAAATTTTGTCACAGTAAAATTAGAGCTGAACTTGAACTTAGAATGAACTTGAAATATAATAAAATCAAACTCACTTGTACTTGATAGCCACTATTAATACTATAAAGCGAAACAGGCAGAGTTAAATTAAATTAAATATCGAAATATAAGCACAAGTGAGTTGATCACATAATATATTTTAATATGCCCCACCAAGTGCCGACAATCGACAGTATAAATTGCAAGAAGTTCTGTATAAATTTAAGATGATATAAGATCAGGATGATACTTTATATAAATTGTTATTGTTACAGTCCTAGACCAACGCGAAAAGTGAAAGTCGTACGACCTAAGAAGCTACTAACATGGAGGTTGGACAGTATAAAGTTTACAAGAACACCATTTACACCAACGTAATTACGTATTATTATATGAACTTATGTTAAAGCTTAGAACATACTTAAATAAGCAGGACAGCATCGACAACAGCAAGAAGATTGAAATATTTTGTTTTCGCTTCTCACATGAAAGTTTCAAGCTATTTCATTTGTGAAGAGATGAAAGATTTATATAGTAAAACCAGTCACAGACATTAAGAAGCCAGTATGTCGTTATTCTGGAATTAAAATACTTTTTTAACCAAGTTTATTGTGCGTCTGTCTGTACTGCCATAGCTCCTAAACTATTTTTTTTTGATTTAGTTCTTTTTTTATTTGAAAAGTGATTGAAAATCAGATGAGCTTTTTAAACCTTTGGAGGGATTTTATGACTTAGCTATTCTACATTGTTTATTCCCGTATAAAGCCTAATTAATTATTTTTCAGGCCTCCGGCGACTACTAATGTTAAGCCTTCAACTGCACCTGAAGTCAAGAGGTAAAATAGGTGTCTAAAGAAAGAATTCAACTATTATGTCACGTTTAATTTGCTTTATTCATTATCATGTATAAAAATATACACTGATATTTTTATATTAAGTATTGTCTACAGAAATCCGTAGTAAAGAGTAAAATAAATATTACAATGTTATCTAAGATTATTATTTTTACAATTATTGTATATACATACATGTAAAAGAATTGGTGTATCCTCCGATAAGAAAAGACTTTGAATAAATAGTGCGTGCAAAGTTTATGGCATTGATACAGAGGGTCTAGTAGTCATGTAATGTATTTGGCTAATCTTGCACCATTGATCGCCTCTTAACATACACGTCTTCAATTAATAATGTATGTTCAAACATTAGGCATACAAACGGATTACTTTAGAATATGCTATTGTTGTTGTTGTCTGCAATAACAATGTGTTGTTCGGTTAAGACTAGCTTGAAGTTGAGGAGATTGGAAAACTACGAGTAAAACCAAAAACGGCAAAAGTTTGCTTGCAAATGTAAATAACGAAACCTAATACATTCGGCGGTCCTAAAATCATTAGATTGGATAAAGTAGCGATACCAGTATGCTCTTATTTCAAGTATCATGGTTCTCTTCAGTAAAGCGAGTACTACATAACCATCAGCGTTGATTCGAAACTGTAATGAGGGATAAGAATTTGAGAAGAAATAGATTTTTATTTTTTATTTTTAAAGGCAACTCCCGCACTAGGAATATATCCCGTGTCGCGGGGGACTTTACAAACATACATGAAACGGATACAAAAAACACCAAGACTCAGAACAACAATTTGTGGATCACATTGTGTCGTCCTAAGTTGGGGATCGAACCCAAAACACACAGCGTAGTAGTAGGCGGCGTGGCTATCGCTTAAACCACTACGCCATCTGTGATCCGTGCAGTCGAAAATCATATTATGAAAGTAGGAGCATTAGCAAAACCCCGTTAAACGATTTGTATGTATGGAAATTGACGCGCACTAAAATAGAGGAATATAAAAAATAAATTTGATTAGAATGAAGAGCAAAATATAGTCATAAGTCGACCTCAAATTGGTAAAAGAGTAGGAGAACCAGAATAAACAACAACAATTTTTTTTTTAACTTAGTTAGTTGTTTTTAAACTTGGTTAGTTGCTTTAAGTCTGCTACGATACGGCTTAACTTCAATTTTTAACATGGAGCGACTGCCATCAAACCTCCACAACTACTAGGCGATATCGAAGTTCTGTCGATAGACCGTTTTCAGACTTTTTAGGGTTCCAACTTCTAGAAACAAAATATCAACACAATTTATAAAAAAGCAATAATTGTCAAAACGTAAAGAACTGTCTAGCTGCCAATTTTCTGACCGGTCAGCATAAGCAAAATCTAAATAAAAAAGTCTGCGAGTCTTACCAAAGCATAATGGGGTGGATTGGGGTGGCTCATTACACTGACAAGGGTCGCTACTGCAGCGTAGAATTTCTTTAAAAACATCTCTCTCTGCAAATGAAGTGAAAACAAAAAATTAACTGTAAATGAGGCTTAGTTATTTATTATTCCTATTTGAGTTCTTTTGAAATTGGGAGTATTTTAACTTTTGACAAGTTAAGTAAGACGACTGAATGGTGTAAAAGTTTTAATGGATATAATGTAATTTTTATTTTTTATAAATATAGCAAAAGGCATTAATCGCCCACGTAGCTTTCCTTATATTTTGCTATTAAGTATTACACATACTAGCTTTTGGCTGCGGCTCACCCGCTTGTATGTCGGTTCATCATCATTATCAACAGCCTTTATTAGGCCACTGCTCGACATAGGCCTCTCCTTAGAATGGAGGTTTCAGCCTACTATACCACGCTGGCCAGACGGGTTGGTATAGGGTTGGCTTCAAATTTTCCTTCTCTTTGCTGTTGTCGTCATAATTTGCTCCCTTAGTCGGCTCTTATGACACCCACGGAATGTATAAGGGTGGTTACACTCTATATTCTTAACCCGTCATCACATGGATTCTATGTCGGTAATTGCGGTAAAAAGTAGCTAATAATGTAGGTTATCATTGGTGAAAGAATTTTTAAAATCGGTTTAGTGGTTTAGGCGTGAACGCGTAACAAACAAACTCACTTTTACATTTATGATATAAAGTATGGAAGTATGGATGAACACAGTACAAGCTGGTGTGGTATGGGCACAGAAGCTAAATAAATGTCTCCCTGGGAACTAATCAGGTCAACCGGTCAACCGATCTTAATTTCTGATAAACAAAAAGAATTTCATCCAATCGAAAAGGAATTGACGTCTGTAATCTAGAAACTGCGATATGCGTGACATCTTTGTAAGAAAATTTGTTACCCTACATACGAAGGTAGTGGTTTTATTCTTAGAAACACAATACTAGAATTCACGCCCTCAAACCCCGCAAGGGTCCGTAAAAGCAATTTGTTCTATAATCTGTTACCTACATAGCGAACGTACAGTGACATGGGTTCTTCATCCGATAGGATCTTATAGGAAATGATTTATATCTCACACAGATTTTACAGATGCAGTTATTCTTGTTCGCAAGATTTTTTTGGAGTTTTCGGGGATTTATTAGTCAGCGAACAGTTGGTCAAGCTGTTCTTTGATTTATAACTGTAGTATTTGGCAGATGAAATTAATTTTTTACTTCTGACGTCATCTTAAGTCTCACATTTTTTTGATAAAATTATTAATTTGAAAACTAATCAGATTATGAAGGAACTAAGGCGTGAATAGAAAGAAGATAGTTGACCTTGAATAAATCGAAGAGGAAGTTGTGATCGTAATTTCGTTAAAATTCCTGCGTAACGAATGATTAACTTATGATTGATAGCAATATAGCTAATTCGTTTTCGATTGAAGCCCGTCAAAAAAGTTTTAAGAATGTAAAAATTATATATATGTATTTCTAATAAGATCTCATGGACTTCCATCACTCTGAGTGATCAGGGTTCGGCGCACGTTATTTATTTCAGTTAAATATACTCGCATGTGTTTAAAGTCTCTGTTAATATGTATTAAGTTTCTGTTTATTTTATTTTTATATTTGACGTATGATAATCTCTCTAATGTGACATACACCATCCTGTGTTTACGTATGGGAGCGACTCGTATCGTGTTAACTTCTAATCAAATGTAGCAAACCCTCGAAAACATATTGCAAGTACTGTTTTTGGATTTTATCAAAAAATATTTAAAACTATTGAAATTTCCTGCATCGTTAAAAGTACTCGCACCGATATATCGTATCGATAGAACCTTTAACATTACATTCCAATCGGACTCAGTGCATTCCTCTTTGGATGGATTAAAATGAGTATATCATATTTTGTATTTAATACGTACAAGCCTTTTTAATGATGAATAAATGAATGATGATCCGCCACGATCACGTTTGATACTTATACTTATAAATGTGAAGGTGAGTTTGTTTGTTACGTCTTCACACCTAAACCGATTAAAAAATTATCGAATTAATTAAAAGCTAAATTATCAACCAGTAACATAGGCTGAACTTTTTACCGCAATAACCGAAATGCTAGTTATATAAGTGTCACTATTTAATAACATAATGTTTACCTACCATACATGGCAAAATTGTGACATACTAAATTTTGTTAATCAGTTCAGCTGTATACATGAACTATGTAAATATCGTATCTTTGAAAGCGATAACTTATGAAAGAACTAATTAAAACTTACAATGACTTCTCAGGATCACTATTTGCTTCCGACCTAATCGTCTCCAAGATTCGAACTTAGATTACTTGTAACTCAAATAAAGGTAAACATACCTTATTTGCTCTGACAAACCATTATAGATACGTTTATATTGAGTTGTAAGAGCAAGTAAATATGAATCTATTAGACATGGTATTAAATATTGAAAGGGGTTTATAAGGGCTTTGATAGATGAGATTGAATGTAAGGACTTCTTCTTACATGTAATATGGACAGCATAAAATAAATTTTATCAAATATAGGTCCTAATACTAATCGGGCACGCCGTCATTGCGGCGGTAAGACCCGTTATGGAGGATTGGCTCGAGAGGCGTCACGGGACCCTCTCATACCGATTGACGCAGGTGATCACTGGGAAGGGATGTTTCGGAGATCACCTGTGTCTGATCCGCAAGGAGCCAACGCCTGAGTGCCACCACTGCGATGGCCAGACCGTGGACACGGCTCTCCACACGCTGGCAGAGTGCCCGGCGTGGGTTGAGCAGAGGCGAGACCTCGTGGCGGCCATCGGAGTGGGAGTTCTCTCGCTCGATAGCCTGATTGCGGCTATCGTGCGGAGCGAGAGTGCGTGGAACTCTGCCGTCTCCTTCTGCGAGCAAGTTATGCTCGCGAAGGAGACGGCGGAGCGGGACCGGGAGAGGTTTAGAACTCTCCCGGCCCGCCAGGCCCGGGCACGGGCCAGGCAGCGCAGGCGACTCGGGCGCCGGAGGTCGCAGAACGACCTCCGTCCTCCATAAGCGCAGGCCTGGGGGTGACAGGTGAGGCCATCTGTCACCCTAGCAGAAGCAGGCCGGGGTGGCGGCGAGCGCGTTGCGAAGCGCGCTCGCTTCCAGGGAGCACAGGGAACATGGGGTTCCCACACGGGGCGGGGGTCGTCTACTCGTCTGTAGATGACCCGAGGTATGTCGGGGCACCAGGGCCTTCCTTTCTAGGGTATACCTGGTTCCCCGGCTATTAGTACCCGGCGAAGGCGTGCGGTTTTAGTCGGTTCGAGTCCGACATGCCACCGAGAGGTGGTATCCGAGGGGATTTCCGCACGGAAAAAAAAAAAAAAAAAAAAAAAAAAAAAAAAAGGTCCTAATACTAAGGCGTACCTTCAAAAGTTAATAAAAAAATTGTGAACAAATGATAAGAATAGGTGTTTAAGAAAAAAAAATCATATTTGGTTGGCGAACGAGCAGATAGGACACCTGAAGGTCAATCCTCGTAATAAAAGTTTGGTCACGATTCAGTTCCGATCAA